TTATATAATCTTAATTAATGGATCGCCTTTTGACTCAAATAATAACTTTTGTTAACATTATTTTATTCTTCATTTACTCATTTTCTCTAATACTTTGGAGATGAGAAATACGTGTAGGACTACATCTCGTGTGATCTTTTATCTTCATTTGTAGAGTATAATACAAGAACCCAATAAATTGTGAATTTTACGCCATCAATTCACATTAATGCTAGCTAAAATAGACTGGAAAAATCACATATGTACCTTTATTTATATATTTATTGTAAAGTTTGAATGTGTGTCTCTCTTTCTCTCATCTCTATGTGATAAAACCTATTTAAACTTCACTTTTATTTAAACATTTTGTCCCTACCTTTACAGAAATGAAAAATTGTTTTCGATGATCTGAATCACTAGCGGTAAATACCCGCCTTTTTTAAACTGACAAAATATGTTCATCATAATTTTAAGAGAGCTTTTTTAATAAATATCTCTAGCATACGTGTTTTATGCCATGATAATCATGGTAGATAGTAGTTAGAAACTCCTTCTACTGAAAGTACACCACATCTCTACACATGTGGAAAGTGCAGTTCAATAATTCTTTTCACTTACAAGTTTGACACCCCGTTTGGCTACTTGTCCTCACTGGGGGGAGGGGGGTGAACCTTTGAAAGAATAGGAAACGATTGGTGGTAATTTTATTTTTTTTTTTATAAAAAGGTGTCCAAATTGGGATTCGATCCTGGGTCGTAGTTTATGGTATTTATAGCACTTCTCCACTTTTTAAGAAAGCTGAAAACTGAGTAGATTTCTCAGGCCTGGTAATTCTTTTTTTTTTTCTTTAATACACGGAATTCTCCAAATTTAGTAAAGTTTTAATTAACTTGCCATTTTAAAGCTTATTTGAATTTACCGAACAAGTAAAAATCTCATGGTGATATATCAGGCGATTAGGGAGGGTGGAAATTGATTTATACAATCTCTATCTCACATGTTATTTTAACGCTAAGGTAAGATGTGGCTGAAAAATACTATGAAACATCATGACCTTCTATCTCCGCCATTAATTCATCAATGTATGTTATAGCTTCGAGAGAGAGATTGAAACATCTTTATTACATCGTTCATTTAAAATTATATGAAGTTAAATACAAAAAAAATGAATAAATATAATATGAATATAGATGAATAAGTGTAAAATATGAAATTGATAAATTTATACATACACATATGTCATAATATATGCTCTTCCAGGAATAATAAAACAAACCTACAGTCAACCCAAAGAGAGACAGCAGCTAAAGTCCGGTCATTTGAGACACCAGCGACATTCCAGGGGGCGACCACAGGGGCGTTACTTGGAACCTTAGGACTAATTAAGACAGTTGGTGATTGTGAGCGATACAAACGGCCGCCCGGCTGTGGCCGGTCGCGGGCCTCTCCCGTCTATCTCTCTCTGGTTGCCTGGGTTCTTCCTCTACCAAATTGTGGTGTGATTATTTCTCTTTTCCCACATTATTATTATATTGTCACATTGAAAGTCGACAGGATCTTATCACATATATATATATATATATATATTATATTATCTAAAATGCAAATATTTTATTTTTTGGGGACATATATTCTGTTTTCATTCATTGACTGTTCTACATTTGTTGACCGTAGATTTAGAATGTTTTTGAATATTTGTTGTATATATACAGTTAACCTACCTATTTTTTTAAATGACGTATATAGGATTCATTTTATAAATTCTATATTACTGTAAAAATATTTAAGGTGTGATTATTTTCAAGTAACTGAAAATTTAAAAAATACTTGATAAGTGAATAATAATCTTTACTTTTTCACGACTGCACCTTCAATTCTTTATCATTCCAACATCAAAGCATTATAATTCATAACATATATATATAATATATATATAAGGTCTTCATTGGTGGCGCCTACCGAGGAAAAGACTCCACCACCGATGGAACGCTGTTAAAATATTCTTGCAGTAATTTTGAGTTACTCGGCTTGGATTGGTAGAGCAGGTTTTCTGAGATTTCTTGATTCATTCCATGGGGTTGATCTGCATCACTTTTTCTTCTTCTCCAATATATCTGCCTCTTTTCAAATGCTCAAAACCAAATAAATACATTAATTCTATCATTATTTGCTTACCGCAATATTTAAGCGTCATGTTGCGGCTTATGAAAGTATAAATATTGACATTTTTAGTGCCTTTTTATATGGAATAATAAACCTACTCTTTGCAAAATACAAGTATTTGTATCTTATATTCAAATATAAAAAATACGATAGGAAAAATAAAAAATGTCAGGTGTTGATATTAAAAAAAAAGAAGGCATATCCTGACTAAAAGCAATCAAATCAATATTTAGTTGCTTTCTGTTCCACTAGATGGCGTTCTGCCATCTAAAAATCACATGTTCTTTTGGTCAGGATATGCCTTCGTTATTTTTAATATTCAAATATGTGCTCTCTATTTTCTCTCGATTGATTACCTGTATAGGTGAAGTAAATATAGGTGCAAATTTATTTTCAGATATACAAGAAATGACTAAGAAAATTTCAAGGCTATCAAATTCAAATGCTACCATGAGACACAATATCTTCATTCGTTTCTTTTAACTTTATGTTAATAAGTAAATTTCTTCATATTTGAACATTTAGATTTGTTATTTGGAGTTCACTTTAAGCCTGTATTTAGTGCTTCCCTTTGGTACAAGGGGTTCCAAGAATTGACCCACTATATATAGGAATTTGGTTCGGTGCATTTATTTGTAGTTCATATTGATTATTAAAAAATAAATAAAAATGCATACCTGACTGCTCACATGACCATTTTTATATGGCAGAGAGCCATCTAATGGAAAAACTATCAACTAACGGTTTAATAGTTGGTTTGTTACAAATTATTTGTCCAACCTATTATATTGATACTCAAGAAAAGCCGATAAAGTACGCTTTCCGGGTTGTTGATCCTCATCAGCGTGATGCAGGCCGTACCTGAAAGACTAAATATTTATTCAAAAAGATTTCACTTGTAATCCCCCATTAAATATTTGACAGAATTATCATTGATATAAAACTAATAATTGAATTATTTTCATCTAATGGTACTTGTAGATGGTACTTTTAGCCACACTGGTCGACTTCAACGCCTCGTGATGGAGGCCGATTCCAAATTACTAAGCCTACAAATCCAGGGGCTTTTCGCAGGAAGCGAACACCTCCCGGAGCAGGAGTCGTACGGCTCGACATCTCCAGTATCTATGAATCAGCGACCCGTCGCTGGACCCACAGGCAGCACAGGTACCACAGTTGTATCTTTTAACATGTATTTCGGGATTCAGATAATAACTTTGAAATTTATTTTATACACAGCGACCTTTATTGAAGGCACACCAGAAAACCAAATGTTAAAAAAATTACCTCTGTCTCCTTCTAAAAGACAGTCCACAGGCGACCTAAAAAAAACTTCCACTTTCTTTTGTCCATGAGTGGATATTGATATCGTTGAAGGAGACATAACACCAGCTTTGGTGAATTCAAACAGAAAGCCAACCTGTTATTCATGATTTCAGGTTATGGCCTAGTCAACGGGGTATTTAGCAAATGCTTTTACTGTAAGTGTGTATCTCATGTCTACACATATAGAAGGTAGTTTGACTTTTGCATTTACAAGGTTCCGAGTGTTCTATTTGGTTGCTTGCACTCACTGAGATAAGAGTCTTGTGGAAAATTTTAAGCCATTGAAAAATGATATGCTTAATGCGGGATTCGATCCCATTTCACGATTCTATATATATATATATTAAATCAACCGTGTGTGGCACATCTACAAATACTTGTGAATGGAAATATGTATCCGTGTAGGTAGAGTTCTGCCCTTCTGTGGAACCCGGGTTGTCTATATTTCTCAATATCCTTCAAAGCTTTTTGCAGGTTAATTAGCTAAGAAATATAATAACCACATCACATCAAAGGCTGGCCTACTGGACATCTTTAGAAGATCAAAATAAATGGCTTATACTAAAGCACATAAAAAAATACATTCCAAAATATTTCTTTAATAACAATTTTAATCACATAAAATTATAAAACTTTCAATGTATACACTAACATTTTATTGAGACTTTTTTCTTCAATAGAATATTTAAAATAATCTAGTGATGAGAGAGCAACAATGACTCAAAAGAATTTCTTATTTTGAAAAACAAATCCTAATTTTATTTGAACCAACCATATTTTTAAATTCAATTTTCTAAATATATTTTAAAATCAAAAGAATATAAAGTTTCTTATCCTGATTTTGGGTAAACGATAACAGTAAAGGGAATGAAAAAATCAACATAATGATTTTTATTGAAGAACACTAATAATTTAAAGTGATTTTTGAAATTTTCTAAGAATTCATTAAATATAGTCTATGTTTGGAAGAAGAACGATTCTACAAAGCGACCCAATATTTGATGCAAGCTACGCTAACCTATCAAACTTTAGGTGAATAACCAAAATGCTATCATAGAACAAACAGGTAACTTCTCAACGTAGACATCAAATAAGTTGAAGGTTTTTTTATGATGACAACTTGATTACTATAACACAAACAAATAAAGTACAAGAATCCTCTAACTTTTGAAGTAATCCCATATGTGAACTCTTTTTAAACCGTGAAGTTTGAAATCTCATGTTCTATAGCTATAATACAAAGAAACACTTATTCATTGTTCTTGGAATTTTTGTTAAACTCTTATTTAATTCAGATCGCCTTTCTCTCTCTTAAAGCCTATATACAACGAATAATGTAATATTCTTTGATGCTACTTCTTAATTAGACGACACTCACATTGTAAAACAACATTTGAAAATTATCCCGCATGTTTTTCTTTAACGAAAAATCAAAATCTATTTCAAGAAGAAATAATGATTATTTCTAACCTTAGGGATGAGGTATGAAAGGATGTATTATGTAGAGTAATGATAAACGGAAAAATAAAAATGTCCAGAGATGGGAATCGAACCCACAGTGTTCCGCTTACCGGGCAGATGCCATGTCCACTAGGCTACCCTGGACATATTTTTTCGTTCGTAAATAATACATAAAGTAAATAATTTATAATACAATATAATATAATATAATGCGGCTTGTGATTGTAAAACGACATTTTAAAATTATCCCGCATGTGTTTCTTTTGAACGAAAAATCAAAATTTATTTCAAGAAGAAATAACGACCATTTCAAACCTTAGGGATGAGGTATGAAAGGATGAATTGTGAAGAGTAATGATAAACAGAAAAATAACTCATCAGATACTCACATTGTTTATTTTTTCTTCTTGCTAAAGGCGAATTCGAAATCAGCCTGCCAACCAGAAATGTTGAATGATAACAAATTTTGTGGAACAACTGATTGGTCGTATTGACACAAAACCGAAGGATGCCCGATGAGCTTCCTTTATAGCCAAATCTTAACCTAGACATCAATTATCTAAACATCCTTTTAGAATGCGGAAAATCACCTTTTTTAGGCAAAAGTTTATTTTTTTTAGGTGTTGCAAGCTTTTAAGAAAATTTTGCTCATCAACGGGCAATCCCAAAAACAAAAGGATCCATGCGCGGGCGTAGACCAAACTATATTACAGATAAATATAGTATATATATGTGTGTGTTAGCGGTCAGTAATATAGTCTTATCAACGCCTAGGAGTGGACCCTTTTGTTTTTGAATTTACTCGTTCAAAAGCAAAATTTGCTAGAAAGCTTGCATAACCTAAAAATAAATAGGCTCTTTGCCCCAAAATACGAGTTTTACTTATTCTAATAAGTTCTGGATAGCGAAATTGCTTGGAAAATATTAATGACACCGTATCTAAACAAAAAGTGCCTAAAAAACGTTTTCTACATATTTTCTAAGTTAAACATCTTCCTTGTGTGGTTTCACCTAAAATTTTAGGAATCACGAAATGACCTGTTGCTGAGGTTCTTGTTGAAGAGTTGGCTTCTCTTGTATTGCTGGCTACAGTCGCTCCATCTGGTTATTGGTTGCGCCGCTGTTACAACTGGAAAAGAGCGCTGGTCACATGATATTAGTGAATTGTCCGCTCAAGGACTTGTCTATATATTCTTCTTTCATGGAAGGTTTCCACAGGACTGCTCGAAATGGCATTTCGAGAACTCCTGTTGATCGTTAAAGAAATGGTAGAGAGACTTTAGGTTGAAGCAATCAAGAAACTGAAAGAGAAAGAGAGCTAGATAGTGATTAGATTTTAGAATCCTATTTATATGTAAATAGTACTGAAAGCATAGCGGCATAAAAGTAAATGGTTACCTCTCGAATCAAAAAAATCAATTTAAAACCTATAGGTCATTTTTACCGCCCCATTAATCAGGTCTTTGACAAAGTCACAACACCAGCTTTGGTAAATGCAGAATACCTAACTGGAGACTATAATTTCGAGATAAAGCCTTAGTCAGCCCAAAACGTTCTATTAGCGGATGCTTAAATCTCGGTTTCAGTTAATACAAAAATTGAAAATATAAGTTTGTCCCAAAAGTTCGTGTTTTTCTTAAAACGTTGCTTTTCTTATTACTTGGAGAATAATACTTCTACGGCGAATATACATAATAATACATAATACAATTATTTTATACATAATACAAAGATAAGGTAAGCGGAACACTGTGGGTTCGATTCCTTTTCCTGGACACTTTTAATTTTCCGTTTATCATTACTCTTCACAATTCACCCTTCCATAACTTATCCAAAAGGTTAGAAATAATCGTTATTTCTCCTTGAAATAAATTTTGAATTTTCGCTGAAAAGAAACACATGCGGGATAGTATTTCAAATGTCGTTTTATAATACAAAGACATTATACATAACGGCGAATAATTTTGGTATTTCAAATTTCTGCAAGTGTTTGCGAACTTTTAGGACAACCTTGTATATTTGATGTCATATGCCATGAAATAATTATCAATACCAATACTGGTTCTATTATCTATTCTAATATAGAAATTTAGTTTTCAAATACTTCTGTGAACATCAGGATGAATTTATTCATTTTTGGTGTTTTAATATTCACATATTCAAGTAGCTTGACTTACATGAATTTCAAACAATAAGGTCTGTTTGAAAATAACACCAATATCAGGATCTATTCTATGTTTCATCATATTTCTGATATTATTTCCACCACATAACGAAAAGACAAAAAATATTTTTCCAAAGTTTAAATAAAAATATTGGCCAAGGTGTCAGTTTTATATAAATATGAAATCCTGCAAGGCTCGCAGATTCTATTTTCAAAACTTAATTCGATCTTATTCTGGGGAATTCTTAAACTGAAGTTTCGAAATTTTTGTAGAGTTTAAATATAATTTTATTCTTGAGATTTGAAACACTTATCCCCCGTTTTTTTAAATACTTTTCACGTGCAAGAGATGCATCTATACTAATATAAATAATACAAGTAAATGATTAATATGCTATCATGTAGTATTGAGGAAAGACTAAGCTCAGAGCAACACTGCAAATAATTATCTGTTTATAAAATAATAAATATATATTTTGCTACAATATGAAGAACCTTTTTGAAATCACTTCTGTAATATATTAATTTCAAATATATATATGTGTGTGCGTGCGTGTGTGTATGTGTGTGTGTGCGTGTGTGTGAAAAAACAATAAAAAATACTTCTTGATTTCTCAGTAAGCCTCTAGGACCAAATGTTGGTCGTAGAGGTACAGTCTGCCCCACGCTGACGAGGGCCAACAGGCCGAAACGCGTTCTTGATTAACTTTTCTTGACCATAAAGAAATTGGGTTGGCCAAATAAACGAAGTAAGTTAAATAAACGTTTAGTTTATATTTGATCCGCCAGATGGCGTTCTGCCATCTAGAAATGCTCATGGGAGCCTGGTCGGGATATGCCTTTATTGATTTTAACATATATATATAATTACTCTATAATTGATTAAGACACAGATTAATGTATTATTCATAGAATAGTTAATATATCTGAGTCGTGTCATCCTGTACATAACTTTCATAGCTTAATATACATGTATTTCGATGTATATAAGAGCTTCCCAATAAATGGAATTTATATAATCAATATATCGCAACTTCTTTCCTGGAATCCTCGTTGATAGGTAGACTGATGGTATGCCCTCTAAACGCACTCATGGACAAAAACTTAAGGAATTTATACCTTTTAGTATGTATACCAGGATTTAGACAATAACTCTGAAAGATATTTGATACACAGTGACTTTTATTGGGAACATCAAAGAATTCCCACTTCCTTAAATTTTGTCCATGACTTTGAATTTGTTAGAATGAAGATAGTAGAGAACATAACATTTCGTCGATTTAATGAAGCTATATCCTTTTTATTCTGTTGGTATTTGATCATATTATCCCACACTATTCTTGCAAAAGTATAATCTCTCCATTGAGTACAAGTAACCAAATGGGACTTAGAACATTTTCAAATGAAAATGTCTAATTGCTTTCTAAATGTGTAGACATGCTATTAACTTGAAGTGAAATAAGTTTCTAACTACTACAAGCCACGATTACCATGATCACCTATACTCTAGGGATAATAATAATAAAAACAATAAACATTATGAAGTCTATCGTATGCCAGGTTTATGGTCCAGTTATTCTCTAGTATATATAAAAGATCTACTGTATTGATAGCTTTGTCAGATGGTGTTTTTTTTTTTTTTTTTATTATCCCTAGTAGTTAGCGACTGCTTTTACTGTAAGCACACCACATGTCTACACATGTGAAAAGCAGTTCGACTTTGCACTTACAAATGTGCCAGAGCCCCGTTTAGTTACTTGCACTCGCTGGTGGGGTTGGACCTTTACAAGAATCGGGGGCCATTGGAGCATTTTTATTTTTTTAAATAAGAAAAAAGTGTCTAATGCGGGAATCGAACCCAGGTCGTAGTGGTCGAAACCAAACGGTTTACCCAGCCTTCCACCGACCCCCCAAGATGGTGTTCTAAATGTTCAAAGTAAATGTTGCTATAATGAATATCGTCATTGATATTTCCTACTCTGTGGAAACATCTTCAAACAATTGAATGTGAAATAAAGAGGATGATTCAAATATCTGATGAATTCTGTGATGGAAATTTAAATACCTGGGATAGCATAGATAGGAAGGCAGAGAATTCTATAGAATACTGCAGGGCTAAGGGAATAAAATACCAATAAAATGTGGCGTGGCAATATTAATAACACAATCCCTCTGAATGAAGTGGGACAATCATTCCCTGACATTGACAAATGGCTCGGACAATTTTTAATTATTATTTTTAAATTTCCTCCTCCCCCTGAGCACAACACGTCATGGTAGGGCAACAAAGGTGGATAGAGCCCAGAATTCCATATCCCAGATGGATGGAGCATTCTTCTCTTTAATGGATTTCTTTTCTGGGAGCATTCCCTGCCTTGACCGCATTACCATAGAGGCATTTGTCATCGCACCACCAGTATTTAGAACAGGGTGGTCTGTATTGTGGCTCACTATTCATCAAACTTGATATGTATCTACGATTTTTTTATAATTATAAGTGTTTTTAATGAATGAATAAGGTATCAACGGGTGTGGGTGTTAGAAATTGAAAATGTTAATATGTAATTAAAAAGGAAAATAATGATAAACAAAATGATATGTTATAATTTGATTTGTAGATTAGAAACACAAGGTAAAAAGAACGAAGACACCAAGACGCGAATGTTTCCTTTCAAAAATAAATCAAACTTCTACTGTCCTTACTGCGATTGTACAAGGTAAAAAACAAGATTCAAACAAGGAAACAATGTGAGGTGCCTCGGCAACATCGCTGCTACCAGCATCAGAAAAAATACTTTGGTCTGAAGAAGGCAACAACGCTTCCACTGAAACGCCAAACCACATCCATTTATCCGGATCCGACTTTATTACCTTGTATGGAAAAGAAAAATAGAAAGCATATATATATATATTATGAAAATCAGATTTTCTGTTGTATTTTTGATCATCTTGAGGATTATGCTATGGAGTTATTAGTTGG